TTGGCGGACGCGTTGAAGACTACCCTCAGCTTGGTCGTAACGCTAGATTCTTTAATGACTGGGTGGTGTGGCATATAATCNTCTTGCTGTAGCTGAGGTCCAACAAACAATGCGTCATTAAGCGAGTTACCCGTGGTGGTTTTGGCGGACGCGTTGAAGACTACCCTCAGCTTGGTCGTAACGCTAGATTCTTTAATGACTGGGTGGTGTGGCATATAATCCACCTCACTCGTCGTTTCAAACACCTCCTCCATGTGACCCATGTCAATGAGCTCTCTCATGAACTCATCGTAGCGCAAACGCAAATCGCTGTTGCTAGCGAGCCTTCGTTCTATGCATAGCAGGTTACGTATTGCGAAGTTTCGTGACTCACCCAATACAGTGTTAGGTTTAAGCGGTAGTTCAACCACAAAGCGACCATCCGGCATTCTTTGATGTGTAGAATTGAAGTGATTCTCGCAGAAGTTTTCCTCATGCGTGAGATGCTGTTTCTGCGGCGAGTCTTCGAGCTCCCATAACCTAGCGAGCGCTCGATCTAATTGCACATCGCAATGCAGCGATGGCAAACTAGGCGTTGGCGAACCAAAATTGTCAACGTTTCCAAATAAAGTCCAGCCGAAAACAGTTGTCTGCGCCATAGGCGTGCCAGACGGACCCTTTCGAAGCTCCGCACAGATTAGTTGATCCATTAAATCCATGCCTACGAGTACGTCTATGCGGCCAGGCTTCGCGAAATGTGGATCAGCTAGGAATAAGCCTTGGATATGTGGCCAATTAGAAACACTCAAGGTCTGCGTCGGCAAATCGTTGGTGATTTTCGGAAGAATCAGCGCGGTAATATCGTAGCATTTATCCGAACAATTAGACGAAAGCGTGAGCAGCGTTTCGCAAGGCGGTCGCTTTGCGATGAACAAATTCCTGTGACAAATACAGAAGACGATGAACGTGTTAATCCCAAACGCTGTACACATGCCTCCGTTACAAAAGAGGCGTGCGACCCGGTGTCGAACAATAAACGTGCTGTCTGCCAATGACCAGCGCAGTCTCGAATCTTTACTAATGCGGTAGATAATATAACTGATTTTTGCGTTGCAGGTAGCGGAATGGAACCAGCACTTAAGCAGGACGAAACGTGTGAAGCAGCGCTATTCACTGCTAAAGCGGTGGCAGATGAACCAGTTGCATGGTTGCTTACAGATGCGGGATTCGAAGCGGCTGCGATGGCATCGACGACATGAGCCGATGTGGCGGCGGGTGAACGTGTATTACTGTGAAGCAGCGTATCGTGTCGTTGATGACATATTCGGCAAGCGGATGAGCTATTACAGCGTTCTTTGTAATGCCCTGGACTTAAACAATTCAAGCAAGCTTTGGATTCTTTAATAAATTTAGATTTTGCAGTAAAATCTAAACTACGAAATTTGTCGCAAGAGTAGATCTTATGAGCTGCATTGCAGTACATGCAGCGCGCGGGGTTTTGCTCTGGAATTGCGTGAAATACTTTGGTTGATTTCGCCGCATATTTATGAGTCGTCGGCTGCCTGCGGAACAGGCGCGGTAATCATTGCCAATGAGCGGCACCTAATCTCCAGAAACGTTGTCAGTTGTTCGTTGCGGGTTTCGAACGCGAGTTTATTTACTGTATTATGTACCAATCAATCGTCCCAGAAGTCTACGGGACGCCCTAATGCTTTAAGCTCTCGTATGTGGTGCTGAGTTGCATCGAGAACACACTTTATAGCATCAGCAGTATCACCTGAAGCCTTGCGAATGTCAGCTATCGCCCTGAGGTGTGCNCTTAATAGCATCAGCAGTGTCACCCGAAGCCTTGCGAACGTCAGCTATCGCCCTGAGGTGTGCCTCAACAATAACTCGCATTACTTTATAGCGAGATTTTAGCAAGTCCCACGCCTCTGTGTAGTTTGCATCACAGATTTTGAAGCCACTAATAATGCTTAGTGCATCACCTTTTAGGCAACTGCGCAAATAATGTAATTTTTGCCCATCTGATAAAGCGGTGTTGGTGTCAACCAACAAACAAAAGGCGTCATAGAAGGCGACCCAATCCGTGGAATCGCCCGAAAAGGTTGGTAAATCCATTTTGGGCAAACGTATAGCAGCAGACACAGACGCTGACGTAGCTGCAGGCTGCGTTGGCGGTTCCNACCTTTTAGGCAACTGCGCAAATAATGTAATTTTTGCCCATCTGACAAAGCGGTGTTGGTGTCAACCAACGAACAAAAGGCGTCATAGAAGGCGACCCAATCCGTGGAATCGCCCGAAAAGGTTGGTAAATCCATTTTGGGCAAACGTATAGCAGCAGACACAGACGCTGACGTAGCTGCAGGCTGCGTTGGCGGTTCCGTCCTACACTTTTGAACCCGTTTGAAGCNATCCATTTTGGGCAAACGTATAGCAGCAGACACAGACGCTGACGTAGCTGCAGGCTGCGTTGGCGGTTCCGCCCTACACTTTTGAACCCGTTTGAAGTTGGCTAAAGCTTCAGCATACCAAGTTTCACCTTGTATGCGAGCGTTCTCCTGTACTTCCACATTGTCAGATCCACAAGATGTTTCAACATCATCTTGAGCAGCGGTGAAACGTACCCATTGCTCGTTAAGGAGTTGTAAATAGCTTGATACAGTGTCGACGTCCATGAGAAAAGCTTCGTCTTTGCTTTTTGTCATGTATCTTTTTATAGCATTTAGTGCGGAGTCGCGAGTTTTTACCGAAGAAGACATTATTAGTTTTGCTTTATGGGTCGTTTGTAGATAAACGATATTTTATGTTGATTGCAGAGGGCAAAATAAAGTCACGGCAGATTTGTAAGTAATGCAAAGTAAAAAAAACTGATAATTCGTAGAGGACAAATCAGAGGACAGCAGAATGTCACAATAACGCATGTATTTCGAACGATTTAAAGAGGTCAAGCCAAAGTCACCTTGAGTTATGAAATTTATGATTCTTGTACATATGTATGTATGTATGTAGGTGTGAATGTGACCTACACCTTGATTTCCATACAATTGCGCTTATACGAGCGGTTCGAGAATATTCGGACCGAAGGACCAGCAAATGTTGCAGAGTTTTCCCAAATGTTGATTGCGAGAAGATTCCTTGTTAGAGTTGATTGTAGAGTTCCAAGTAAAAGTCGCGGTTTACTAATTTACAATTTAATTCAATCTACTTTAATTGTTCAATAGAAACTTTACAATTTTTATGCGAAAATTCTAAGCGGGCGAACGAAATATGCAGGCGGTAGAAAAGCTAACGAACGATAAACAATTAGCCGAAAAAACAATAATAAACGAAGAAGGAGAATAAGAAATGTCAAATGACGTTTGCTATTAACTCCTTCGTGGTGAATTAACGTTAACCCTTGTAAGTGCGTGAACATTAACTCTTATGTTATACATGCAACCATTAAATCTTTAAAGTTAGTATATTCGAACCCAACAGCCCGTATTGTAAAAAACTCGCTGTACCTAAACTTTATTGACTGACTGTATTGATTAAAAGAAAAATACTGATAAAATAAAATATTTCACACAAACAGGGTGGAAAATTTAGAGCTCCTGCCTGTATTTTGTTTGTAAGTTAAATATTAGTGGCATTGTGCTACTATGATAGCACGGCCGAGTAATCATAGTCAACTTATGTAGAGTAGTCGAAAAAAATTATAGCCGCACCAAATTTTGACAAGTTTGAAAATATTATTTTTGTTGTTATTTTTTTTTTTGGTTAGTTTTTTATAGTGTATTCTTTACAAACATCCGTATAAATACAAGTTTAGAGGCAGTGTCACACGATTGGGAATTTGCCGAAATTTGGTGCAAATCGTATCCCAATTGTATGAATACCCAAATACTTTTCTTTATCCCAATCACGAAAAATAATTTGTTGAAATTTTTCAATACAAGATTGCTGTATTGTATCAAGCTTCTCACTACAAGAAAAAAAATTTTCCAAATTTTTTTATTTTGTGCCAATAGTCCAATATAAAAATGCACAAATCTGTACAATCTGTTATCGTAATAAATCAACCCTAAATACAAATAAATGTTGTTCTGTAACTTATTGCAAGTCTCGTCTTACTACCGTCTTACTCTATTTCAAATGTTGTCCTGAAGTTGAGTACCAAAGTTAAGGATCTAGGTGTCGTGTTTGATTCAGCGTTCACAACATATCAATTACATTATTCCCAAAGCGTTCTCCTCATTGGCTTTCATTAAGCGAAACAGTGCTCAATTCAAGGATCCATATACAAGAAAGCTTTTATATAATACGTTTGTCAGGTCCAAACTGGAATATGCCTCTATAATGTGGAATCTTTCTTACGAAGTTCACCATAACAGGATTGAGCGTGTACAAAAAGGTTTTTTTAAATTCGGTTTGGCTCAAATTAGGTTTGAGAATTCTACTCCACCATATATATCTCGCTGCAAGCTGATTAGCTTGCAAACTCTTCGTAGTAGGCGGACTATTTCGGGTTTGATGTTTTTACATGATATTCTGAGTGGGGAATTCGACTGCCCCACTCTATTAGATCGCATTAAACTCAATGCTCCAATGAAGATGCTACGCCAACATGATATTTTTTCGATTGATCTATGTTAGACGAATTATGATCTAAATGAACCATTGATAAAGTTAATCCCAAGATGGTCAGTTCTACGTTACCGGATTGACTCGGAGCACCCACTCCGACCTAGGACCATTACCCCAACAACCTGACAAGGCGTAACACCACATCAGTAAGATGCAACGCATGGAGTGCTGCTTTCACTGCAGCCTGCTGCTCTGCTACCACACAACCCCAATCGCCTGCACCTACATCTGTGCCAATGCCAACGCCAGCAGTAATCCCACAACCGCGGCCCACGGTCACACCCACACCGGCACCAACACCGGTGACAGCACCAGTTCCCACGACAGTCGGGTCTACGTAACCGGAACGACCCAGATTTATATCTGGCCAAGGACTGTCACTCCAGCAACACTCCCCAAAATCTCTTTGGGGAATTTGTATGCTGTTACAACAAGAACAACAACACCAGCGGTCGGACCACCACACCCGCAACAAACACAACCGGCACAGCAAGCAGTTCAGGCAGCGCGCCAGCACTCCCTCACCCCGCGAATAACCATCACCAGGCCCAATTCCATCAAACTATTGCAGTTCAATTGCAACGGACTACAAAGCAAGATCGCTGGGATAGTCAGCTTCATGAGGCGCAACAAAATCTCAGTCGCGGCGGTCCAGGAAACCAAACTCCACTCCGGCTCTATCCTTCAGAGTCAGGATGAGTTCAACGTCATCCGAAATGACCGCCCTCGCGTCGGCCGAGGCGGCATCGCCTTTATATTGCACAACGCGGTCCAATACCGGCTCATTACCCCCCGAATCGCCGCCAACGCCACACTCATTGAGCCCAAGGTGTGGCAATCAAGTCGGGAGATACTGAGCTAGAAGTCGTCAAAATGTACATACCACCTTCCACCAGCTGCCCAGCAGGATACCTCCCGAACATAAGTGCGCTACTTGAAGGCGAAAACCGGGTAGTGCTAGGGGATTTTAACGCGCACCACGAACTCTGGCACTCCAACCTGGGCAACGACCAGCGGGGTACACTAATCGCAGAACAAATTGATGACTCAACGTTTTGCACTGTAAACGACGGTGCCCTCACCAGGGTGGCGGGTGACTGCTACAGCTCGCCAGATACCACTATAGCAAGCGGGGGTCTGATAAATTGCGTTGGTTGGCAACTAGTGCTCACGCTCGCATCAGACCACCTGCCCAGAGTAGTCGCGATAGACCACCCAAGAGATTTTGTCACATCCGAAGACCGTACGTATATGAACACCAAGAAGGCCAATTGGGACGGTTTTACGGAACACACGGACCGCAAATCCAATGCTCCACCACCAACATGCGCGCGCGAAGCTGAGTGCAACATCCGCCGGATCATCAACGCAGCAGCCGCCCTCTTCATACCAGCCAGTAGGATTGCCAAAATTCGCCCGGGCTTTCCAGCTGAAGCGGCGGGACTCGCAGACGAGCGTGATCGAATCCGCCAGTCTAATCCTGGTGATCACCGTATCAGGGATCGCAACAAGGACATTAACAAACTGGTTAACGAACACAAGCGGAAAACATGGAATGAGCACCTCAAGACTTGCAATCTCTCCAGCGGAGCTAGCAAACTGTGGACGGCAGTAAAATCTCTCTCCCATCCGGCGAAACGCAAGGACAACGCTGACGGAATCTCGATGCAGATGCTGAAAAAGCTAGGACCAGTGGGAGTCGAGTACAGTCACAGCAGCTTTCAACTTGTCACTGTCCACCCTGGTCCTCCCTGATATGTGGAAAATGGGTAGGATCATACCCCTCCTTAAGCCATGGAAGAAGGCGGACGCAGGAGAATTTACCCGCCAATCTCCCTCCTATCCCCAGTGGCAAAGACAATGGAAGCACTACTCCTCCCCAGTCTAACGAAACATCAGCAACTAGCCCAACA